TCTTCCCTAGTGCAGAATTCTGGTGCTTCCCCTCCCAGTCTGCTCCTTCTGCAGCCCAGCCCAGCCCGTGGGCCCACCAACCCCCCAGAGAACCTGACTGCACCTGGGAGTGTCCCAGCTGGGCAGCCTCAGGTCCACAGGAGGCTCCAGACAAGCAGAGCTAACTCCAAAACAGACAGATAGGGTGGGGAGACAGTGAGACCTGGGTTTGGGACAGGATGGGGCTGCCTGGCCTCACCATCAGTGTAGAGGCCCATGGAGGACACCGGGGGGTCCAGACAGGACCCCCTGGGATCTCAGGCTGTCTCTGCAGTTCTGACCAGAGGGCCTAGAGGGCAAGGTACGGAGGGTCTGGAAAGAGCTCCCTCTGATCTACAAAGACCTTGGGATCCCTGACGCTACGTCCCCAGAGCAGCTGCAGACACACAGAACTCAGCCAGGAGTCAGAGACCCAGCCGCAGGAGAGGGGGCTTGGGACGCTCAACAGAAGCAGGTGCCAGAAGAGGAAGGAGCCCCCCACACCCCAATATGCCCTTTGTTGGGGGAGGGCAGCAGCGCTGAGGGAAATGCTTCTCTGCCCAGGGCTTCCAGCTGCAACCCCAGCCCACCCCATCTTGTGTGAACGATGAGGTGGATACTGCCTTCTCTCCCAGTATCTGACCCTGGCAACCTTGACACCTCTGGGGACTGATGCCGAGGAGCCCCCAGCAGAGAGCATATCCCTTACCACCCCCGGGTGCAGAGGGTCCCCAACCACAGCAGCCCCGGACACTTTCCCTGGGCCATGTGTCCATGAAATGCTCTTTGTCCATCCGTGTAGGTCTGGGAGACAGTGATCCATCTCCCTCCCCTAAGCCCATAGTCTGGCTCAGCGCAGCTTCTGTCCCTGCTCAGACATGCCCGCCTTGGGATGGTGGCTGTTCACCCCCCTCCATCCTCCCCAGACACCAGGCACAGGCCCCACTGGCCCCCTCCTCCCCAAGAGAGGATAGCCTTCCCACTCCCAGGATGCCCCAGGCAAACTCGACAGTTCGCATGACACAGGACGCATGACACAATGACAAGGTGTCAGGGAGCCGCTGGCCTTTGTTTGGCCAGAAGACCCCCCCTTCCCGCTGTGGGCTCAGTCACGGTTGTCCTGTAATGTCCTCCTTCCCATTTCCTGCTGCCTTCCACACCTGGCCCAGCACTGCAGCCCTGGGGCCTTTTCACATGCTGGGTCCCAGGGTCATCTGCCCGCCCGCCCTTGAATCCCACCTCAGATGCCCCCTCCTCCGTGAAGCCCTCCCCTGCCCCCACACCACCCCCGAGGCCCCAAGCATGCTTTAGACAAGGGACATGTCACACCAAGGCAGACTGACAGGACAGCAGGCCACGAACCAGTTGTTAGGGTCAGAAGAGCCACACTCCCCCTGCTTTGGCCTGACAAGAGTCTACACCAGCTGCCCAGTTGCCGGCCCTGACAGCTGCCCACACCCTCGTCCATTGGCTCCAGGTTTGCTTGCCACTTCCCAGCCTTGGGGGAAAACCGTTTTTTCAAATTGCGCCCCTGAGGACCCTGAACCTTAGATCTGCACACGTGGCCCCCGTTCAAGGCCACCTTGCTGTCATCCCCAGGCCACCACTCAAGCTGCTTCCACAGACTGTGCAAGTGCTCTCTTCTTCGAGGGATTGAGCATTACATCTGGGGTGGATCTTGGGGTGGATCTTGGGGTGGCCCAAGCACGTGAAGGCCTCCAGGATATTCCCTCAGTGAGAACAAACTTGTCAACAGTGGGACACTTTCTTCAATAATTTGGCCCCAGGAGAATTGTTGTCAGCCAGCCCTGTGTGCCCACGGCCCCCAACGCTCCCTGGTGCAGAACAGTGTCCAAAGGGATCACGGCTGACTGTGAAGGAACCAAAGATACCCCCTCGTCATCCCACAGAGAACTCGGGCCCTAAGAGCAGACATGCCTGGGGCCCCACATGGTCCTTCCCAGGCTGCATCTTGAGAGAGAGACTGCAAACGTGCAAAGCCCTCCCATGTCCACTCCAGGGGCCCAGGGACTGGAGCGTCTGGGCAGATCCTGCCATCGCAGGAAGAGGAGACCTGGGAGCCATCTGTCCCTTCCTTTGTGGCCCATGGCTGCCTACCTGCTCTGTGAGGCCACCAGTTAGTGCTGGCAGCCTTCCTGGGGCATTGAGTCCCACTCCCACCTGCCAGGCCCCCTCCTGGCCTGCTGGGTCCTGTCCTCCCTCACTGCCTAGGGCAGCCCCTTGTCACCACAGCTACTGCTAGCCACCTCCCTCCTCCTTCCCTTTCTTCCAGTAGCAGGTACCCAGAGGTCTGTGCCCTGCTCCCAGGTGGCCTCATGGTCCCCAGACCCCATGGAGGAGACAGCCCTCAGCCCAGGTCACACGGCAGCCACAGTGGCAGACAGCCAGAAGCCTGCTGGCCAGGCGTGAGTTCAAGAGGGGTTGGTCCACCAGGACTGGGCAGCACCAGCCATTGCCAGAGGCTTATAGGAAAGGCCTGGGCTTGTCTGGGATTTCACCACTGTCCAAACAGCATCTGAACTCCTTCTGGACTGGCATCCCCTGAATTCAGGCTCTCACTCAGTCCATCATATCCCGAGCCCCAGAGTGGAGCAGGCAGGCCCTATGGAAACAGCCATGGGCTTCTGGCAGGGGCTGGGGGCTGGGAGGTGGACCATAAGACATATGCTCAGGACAACACAGCAGCCCAGCAAGCTAGGGACAGTCTCAAATGGCCATGACTCATCTAGGCTCCAACGAGTCCTGTCCCCAGTAGGGCTGAGTGAGGCCTGCACACACGGGGCTCCCTCCAGGCCCTCACCTCTTTCCTTCCTCCTGCTGCACAGGAGATCTCTGTGTTTCCAGTCGAGACTCTATTTCTCAGTCTATTTCTCATACATCTGTCTCTGTCTCTGTGTCTCTCTGTCTCAGTGTCTTTCTCTGTCATGCACCCTACATTTCAGTCTCCTGTCCTGTTTCCTTGTGTTCCTCAGTCTTGGTCTCAGGACCCTGTTTTCTTCTCCTGGCTGTTCTGTTCTGATCCTCCATCCTCCACAGATTTTCAAATAGCCTGTGCCCCACTGTCCCTCTCCCTCAGGCCTGTACCTCCCCACATCTGTCTTATGTGTTCGGGGCACCTTCTCTCCTTCTCTCCAACCCCACACCTGCTCTCTATTTCTCGGATCCATCTCTCTGGGTCTGGGTCCGGGTCTGTCTCTGTTCCTCTGTCTGTACCCACTCATCTCAAGAGGCCAATATGACGCCTGTCGGGTGGGAGAGAAAACACAGGAGAAAAACACAAGGGCTCGCCCTGGAGCTCCGATGTAGGGCCCAGCCCCAGCCTCGGGGGATGACAAATCCTGGGGGGCAGCCCCTGGCAGAGGCCCTGCGGGCACCTGCTGGGGGGGCTGCTCTGAGGTGCCTCGGCCCACTGCCCCTCTGCAGCTCCCCCGTGGCCCCAAGAAGCCCGCCCTGTCGCTGCCACAGGAGAAACTTTGGGCTGACATGGAACAAAGGGAATCCAGGCTGGCAATTACCCAGCTAATTTCAGCCATGTAGACAGCCAAATCAGATATTTCAGGTTTCTTACAAACCCACCTCAGGGCCTGAATTAGCCACCTAATTAATTATCTGTAACAGCCGGGGACTGGCTGGGTGGGAACATGAATTGCTCCCAGTGCCAGGATGCTTGTCCCTGAATCACGTCCTGGTGACGTAATCATTATAATTAGACCCAACCTGCAGCCTATCCTTGACCACAGCATCTCAGGAAATGTGGCCCCGGGCCAGGCCCAAATGTCTTTCCATTTAATTTGTGACAGCAGAAATGCAGTCATTCTGCAAGAGACAAGCCCACCCATAGGGCCCCTGTCCTGGGTTTGGTGGCCCCGGCCCCACCATCGTGCCCTCCAGCCCGCCCTCCATCACGGCACAACAGCCCCATCTGCTCCCCACCTCTGGCAGCTAGGTCCCGATTCCTCCTGCCCTGCAGCAGCCCCATGAAGATGGCCTTGTCACGCAGCACCTGACTCACGCCATGCTGGGCCCAGCACCAGGTCAGGGTGTGGCCCATGGAGGCCACCAAAGGAAAACATCCTGAATGGCAGAGTCAGGGGCTGGCCACAGGTTCCCCTCCCAGGGAGCTCTGGGGAGCTGGTGTTGCAAGCAGGGGGGCTGGAGCACATAGGATGGGTCCCCCGGGCCCCAGCTGGCCAAACTGCTCTCCCAGGACGCACCTATCCGAGTGTGGACTTCAGCCCAGTGCCTGCCCACCTCCTAGGCCAGTGTCTCTGGCCTCAGTGATGGCACTTGCACCAGAGGCACAGGATTCTCTTCAGGTAAGAGTCAGCAGGGTCAGAAGGACGGTCCCCTACACACACACATGCACACACACACACACACACACACACACACCCCTAGCACGGTCTCTGTGGAAGTGGGCCAGGGACACACCAGCTATCTTAGCCTCTTCTCTTGTCCCCCTGCTCAGCCAACCCTGGTTCCCTATGCATAGGTGAAACCCATGGGGTCCTTGCTGGACACCACAGGTCCAGGTCTGGCCTCCACCCCCCTCTGCAGCCTCCCCACAGCTGCTTGCCACACCCTGCCAATCAGGTTGGCCCTTGGTGCCCACGAAACCCACCCTGGCCTATTCTCCCAAAAGCTATGATGCTGCTCCCTAACCCTTGACCCCAGCCTCAGCACTGTATGGTGGGCTCTGCCCTGACCACGGCATGCCAGTGTGTGCCCTCCCCCACCCCTGTGATGGCCAAAGCAATTTGGGAGGCACTGGCTTTGGTCCCTTTCTTGCCCTCTGGCTCTGTCCTGAGGGGGAGCGGGCTGTTTTCCGGGAATGTGTGGTGAAGGCATGTGTGAAGTCTGAAGGTGACCATGTGCTGAACGTGCCCCCGTGCAACTGGAGCTCCCATGTAGGGCCCAGCCCCAGCCCCATGCCTTGGGCCCCCACGCCCTCAACTTCCTACCTCCCAGGGCCTGTTTCATCACGAACTCCATGACGATGGCTTTGATTCCTCAGTGGCTCCTCCAAGGGTCAGAACTCACATGCAAGTGTGGCCAGGAGTTCTCTGCCTGGGGGAAAGGAAGTGGTCACAGGTCACCCTGACCGGGCCTGGGGGTGGCCTTTTTCCTCATCCGGACCTGACGTCCCTGAGCATGGGTCTGTGGTCTGAAGAGAGCATCCTTTGTCCATTCCCCCTCCCAAGGCTAGACCCCGACACTGACAGGGACACCTGAGAGGGTCTGGGAGGGTCTCTGTGGAGGAGAGTTTCCACCCTACATGCTGACCATGGCAGGTAGGTCCTGAGACCCCAGCTGGACCTGAAAAGTGGTCTCTCCTGGCCCCTGGTTTTCTGAAAACAGCTTACGGTGGCTACTGCAGGGATGGGGGCTGGAGAGCGCGGCTCAGAAGGGGCCAGGCTGTGCGGGGCTGGGGCAGAGCCATAGGATGTTTGAAGGTGACTAGCTCTTCTGCAGCCTTGTGGGCCCTGGGCCACAGGGGCGTGGGGGATCCGTCTAAGGGACAGGAAGGGTGTGGTGGGCTGAGGCCTGAGTGGATGCGACTTGGGAGAGGCCTCCTTGGCTTCTGACAGAGTCTCAGGGGTCCACAGACCAGACTCTACCGGGGGGAAATTCCAGGGCCCACTGTTGCTGCCCTGCGCAGAGACTGGGGTGGAAGGTAAAGACTGCAAGGAACCCAGCCTTCAGGGAACAAATGAAAATGGGAGGTCAGACCCCTCCCACCTGCATCTGCATGGGTGGGGCATTCCAGGGTTCAGGTCAGCTGAACTCTGGTGGGGCAGCGCTGCCTGTAGGTTCAGCGGCTGCAAGGCTCCTCCCTCCCCACTTGTGGGGTCACTCCAGGCAGGGAAGCCCAGGGCTCTGGGACCCAGTGTTTTACGATGTTTTCCTCTGCAGACGAAGGAGACCAGCGTTTGCGGGGCCTGGGGAAAGCTGACCGGGTGGGAGTGCCCCCGCCTCACCGCAAAGCGCTGGCGCGCAGGGGCGCCCTTGCCGCAAAGCAGATTCTCTTCCAAACTTCTCCCTTGGCTCCTGAGGGGGTGGGGAACTCAGGGCCCAGCCACGGTGAAGCTCGGGGTGCTCCTGGAACTCCCCCAGGCTTCCCACTGCCTCCCCGTGCGGGCCGGGGCTCCCACTGCCGCCGCACCCCTCGGCTTAGCGGGCGGGCGAGTGCCCCAGCTCTGCTGAGCGGCCCTCAGGCGGGAGAGCGCCAGGAGAGAGAGACAGAGGACCGGGGAGGGGAAGGGGAGACGCGCAAGGCAGAAGCGACAAGGAGGGAGGGCGCGGGCCGGGACGGTGGGGCCCGCTTCAGCACCGCGCCGGCGGACAGCGCCCGCCCGGGCCGCGAGCGCGCCCCGCGGGGGCCGGGGAGGGGCGGGCTGGGCAGGGGGCGGCCTGGAGTGGGGTGAGCGCGGGAGCGTGGGTTACCTTCCCCGGGCCGGGGTGCTGGCGGGCGGGCGGGCAGTCAGTGGCGGAGCGCGCTCGGACTGGCCCGGTCCATGTGGCGCCCCGGGAACTGCAGCGGCGGCTGAAGGGCACCGCGAGGAGGGCGCGTCACATGGAGGCGCACCCCGCCCCCCGCCCGCGTCCGAGCGTGACGACGAGGGCGGGGCCGCAGCGGCGAGGCGGGCGCCGGCGGGGGCCGGGGGCGGGGGCGACGGAGTCGCGCCCCCCTGTCCTCTCCCAAGCGCTGCCCCCTCGCCAGATGCGGTGGGGTCTCAGAGCCTCGCCTGCGACCCCCGCCCGCCCAGCGGTTTAGAATCCCCGATACGCCCCCCCCCCCCCGCCCACCATCCGACCTCCTCGGTGTGGACCCGGCCGGGGGTCGCCCTCCTGCAGACAGGGTCCCGCACCCTCACGCCCCCTGCCGTGCGGGGTACCTCGCGAGCGCAGGTGGGACCCATACGTGCGCAACCCTCAAAAGCTCTTTCTCTTCCGGAGAGGCCTGGCGGTTGGGGGTCGCGGCTCCCCTCCCCATTCCACTCCGCCGGGGCGCGCGGAGGAAGGGGCTCCCGTCGCATCAGCAACAGTGAACCGAACCCGGACGAGTGCCCCTGAGCGCTACCCGAGACCCCGACCCCGCCGCTTTCCGGCCCCTCCGAATCCCAGGGCGGGAGAAGGGAGCCCCCAGACTCTGAAAACCCACCCACCCCTGGCCGAGAGAGAACTGCAGACCTGCCCGGACCTATTTTTCAGTGTAAGAGCGTCCGAGAAAGGGAGGACGCCACCCTGAGTTTCATCTCAGTGGGACGCAGGAGGGAGACCCCCGCCCCCTCGGGCGGCCCGCGAGGCTGCGGTGGGGGAGGAGACCGGCGCAGAGCGCGGCTGGCGCCCGCGGCGCAGAGCGGGCGGCCCCTCGCAGGGCAGGGACGCGTGAAGGTCACTGCAGACAAGGGCCGCTCCGCCCCGGCTGTCCCCGCAGCCCCGCCCCCGCTGCGGCCGCCCCCTCCCCCGGGCCTCCGGGATTTCCCGGCGGCAGAAGCCGCACTGCGGGGAGAGCCGGGTCGCCGCAAGGTCGGACGCTAAGCCTCCAGTCCCGCCGCCCCTCCCGGGAGTCGAGAGACCCCCCCGGCTCCCAGCCAGGGCAGGCGAGAATTGCGGCGGGTGCTGTGGGGAGGGGTGCGGCTTCGCCGCGTGCCGGGTCTCAAAAAACAGAGGGTCTGAAATGTTGCTCCGGCTGCTGGCCCAGGGCTGACCTCCGGGTTGGTGGGCAGATAACGTTGGTGGCCACTGCACTAAAACTTGCCGCCGACCCCTCCCGACTGAGTCGTCAGGACTTGCTGGACCTGTGGTGGAAGGGGAGGCCCCAGGAGCTGCTTCTGCCCCTGCCCCAACCCCAGGGAGACCACACCCCCTGGTCCTCTCCGCCCCTCCCCTCAGCACCCCCGGAAGCTCAGACTCAACTCTGGAAGAGTTGCAGGCCTATCCTGTTGGGCACCCTGCTACCAGCTCCCACCCCTCGCTAACCATCTCCAGGCCCTACTGTGCCTGGCAGTGGCCTGGTAGGGGCCCAAGGGGAGGGTATGGGAGGAAGTCAGCCCTTCTCCCTGGGAGTAAGGGGTCAGACTCCACTCAGCCGCCACTTTGGTTAGTGAGGTTCCTAGCGACCCTGGAGGAGGCCCACGTCCCAAGACATAGCCCTCAGGACATGCACAGCCTCTCTGGATCCCGAGGCCCTGGGTACATTCTCACCTTCTCCTGCCGACAGGTCCTGTCACTCAGATCTGGGCCAGGAGGTAGGGGAGGGTGGGGGTTGCTGCCCAGAGGGGGAGACTGGGGAGAGGACATAAGACTCAAGCCAGGGCTGCAGGACTAACTGCCCTGGCTGCCCGCCCAGAATGTGAGAGGTACCGTCACATCTCATCTCTACCCTGACCCTTCTTGAGAGGTGGCTTATAGCTCCAGGCCTTAAGCAGGTCTGGGGACAGGCATTCTGGGGTCTGCTGTCCCCAGGTGCATGAGAGTCTTGAGGGTGTGCCTTGAGCCCCCACTCAGGATCTGCCCAGCCTGGCCTTTCCAGTGTTCTCAGAACCTGAATGTGGATGCTAGAGGGAGAGAAGTCCCTTCTGCCCTCTGGAGCGTCTTCCCTCCACCCCTGCCACCAGATGGACCTGGAGGGTGAACCACAGCTGATCTCCTGTGACCCCAGAGGTGACCTCCGTGGAATCCACAGCAGGCCCCCCAACCAGTGGCCCCTGGTACCCTCATGAGCCACCTGCAGGAGACCCCTGTTGACCTCAGTACAGCCAGGTTGGGGAGGGTCCTGCGTGTGCCGTGACAGGGCAGTGAGGCTCATAGGACAAAGGAGCACAGAGGTCCTCATCTCAGTGGGGGCTCCACAGCCCCACTGACTCCATGATCGGGACCTAGCTGAGCGCCACACACAGCCCTGAGCCAGGGGCCCAAAGATGCTGTCTGGCCCTCCCAGTTTGTCCCCGTCCTCCCTGTGGGGTCACCACCTGTCTCTGTCATTCCCCCTCCTACACCTCCCACCACACAGTGATCCTCCTCATGTCTCACAGGTGCCCAGGCCCTGACCTGGGGGTGCATGGCCCAATAACGACTCAGGCCACCCTGGAGGAAATAGTCCGGGATCAGAGGGACTGGTGCCCCACTCCAGGAGAGGGAGGCTGGGCAGCTGCGAGGCCCAGGAAGGACCAGCTCTGGGCAGGTGGTGAGGACGTGAGGCGAACCGGCTGCAAATGCCCCCCCCCTTGCCTGGTCTGGTCCTGTGGTAGAATTTGTGGCCCTGTGAGGGCCCAGAAGAGGTCCTGCCTCGAGGCAGGAGCTTAGCAGGAAACTTCCAGATAGCCAAGGAAGACCCGGAGTGAGTTCAGAAGGCACCTGGATGTGGGCGCCATCCATGACGGGGTCAGGGCACAGAGGAGGTGAATAGTGATGCCACTGGGGGCGGGGTGGATTTCGAGGAGCCAGCAGGTGGGGAAGGGTATCCCACTACGAGGTTAGCATTTGGGACATGTGTGTTTGGCCACAGCCAAGGTCTGGCGGTGGGACCCTGGCCAGCTGGCCTCCCAGGTAAACAGCCCTGAGGCCGGCCCTCTGCAAGCTCAGGAAATGCATTGCCCTCCAGATGGGCCCTTCAAGGCCAGAACACCTGATCCAAAGCAAGGTTGTGCCAAAGGCCACAGGATGCTGGGTTTGGACCCCCTGCCATTCAGAGTCCCCTTTGTAGCCCCCACTGAGTCACTCCAGATGGCCGAAGAGAGGAGCCGGGCACCCTGCCCCAACCCTCCCCAGGAGCCCCTCTGCTCCCTCCAGGGAGGCCTGCACCTGCCAGGCCCATCTGTCCCATGGAGGGCCGGCCGTGGCTCCTGCACCCCAGGGCACCAGCCTGCTCAGGCTCAGAGAGGGCCCTGGAAGCACCTTCAGGAATTGCTGGTGTTGTTCCATTTGGGGTTGGGGTCTGGCAGGGGGTTCAGGCCCTCAGGAGCGGCTGGGAGGGATTTTAGCACACATGGGCTTGCCCAGAAACCTCAGATGCAAGCTTAATGATGTAACCCACTGAACCCTTCGGTCCCCATGCTGCCGTCTTCCTGCCAGATTTCATTACTACTTAAAAGGTAATGACACAGGAAACGCAGAGGCAAAATGAGACCACGGTTGTCTTTCATCAGAGCTAGGCTAGAACCATGGCTCTGAGAGCAGGGACCCTTGTGTCCCTGCCTGGTCCCATGACCCTTCGCTTGCCACCATAGGCAAGAGACACCTAGCCTCTAGGACCCAGCTGGCCATGGGGTCAGCACCTGGAGCTCATCCCTTTGGGCTCCTGGGAATGAAGCTGGAGGTGCTGCCCAGCCTGGGGCGCCAGCTCATTCCTCAGACCCCTGTCCCATCCTGTGCTGGGGCACATGTGCCTGGTCAGGGTCTTGGGATGAAATGCACTCTCTTCCCAACCACCTGGTTCCGCAGAGGCCCTGCCCCCATCCCCAACAGAAAAGGGGGCCCCTAGGTCCCACCAGGACCCCCGTGGGCCCGCTTTCCTGAGGAGCTGGTTCAGGATCTGGGCTCGGAGCACAGTGATGACTCCAGCATCGTCTGCCTCAGATTCCAGACTACCGGGCGCAGTCCGCCTTCCCTCGCAGGGCCCCCTCCCCAGCCCAAGGTCACGTCCCTCCCCAGCTCCATGCCCATGTCGCCATCAGCCAGCGCCTCCGTCTCCCCAGGCTCCAGTCACAGCCATCACAGCCACCTCGCACACAGCCCCGCGAGGAGGCAGAAACGGTGGAGTCCCTGAGTCACCCGCAGGATATCCTATCAGAACGGGGAGGCAGGCCTTTCCAAGGGGCTCGGAGAAGGGGGCAGTGTGGGGCTCGAGGGAAAGTCAACAGGGCCGGTGAGGGCCCCCCGCCTCCCACCACGGGCTGCTTGGCTGTAGCAGCCCCCCCCCGAGCTCCGACACAAAACCCCTAGTGTGGGCTTGGATTCAGAATGTAGCCTCTCACTGGCGGCTGGGGGGCAGGGGCTGCGCCGAGGCAACCCCAAGGGGACATGGGCAGCCTGGGTGAGGGCCAGGAGGCTTGGAGGACGATGGGGCAGGGATGAGTCTGCTCCCAGAGAGGCCATGCTTCTGAAGACCTCTGGCCCCTGGAAGCACAGGTCTCACGGTGGGGACCCCTCGTATCCCTCGCTGCAGCTCCAGAGCCCCGTGGGCTGGGCCAGCTCTCCAGTGGCCCTGGCCAAGTCTATGCCTGTCACACCTGGGTCTCTTCCAGTCACCAGGACAAATGTCCAGGCTGGGTGAATGCCCTGGGTCATCTCGAAGCTGTGGGGGACATCTGGTCACCTCCACTGTTTGGGGGTGACATCCCCTCGGGGGCTCTGAGCTAGACTCTCTCTCTGACCAATGGTCCCTCCCTGGAACCTGTCATGTGACCCCCACCGGACGACCTCCTTGAGCTGCAGACCAGATGTTCTTTCTCCACAAATGGCCCCTCACGCTCTCCTGCCTACCCTCCACTCCCATCTAGTTACTCTGCACCACCCCAGAGGCCTCCTCTACCCTCCAAG